CCCCAAAACCCCAAAACCCCAAAACCCCAAAACCCCATATAAAGATATCTCGCTGAACTTAGATAATAAATAATATTTCAAATGAACCAATTTTGCATCCCTTACTGTCTTTGCGATTTTATGCAAAGCATCAATATGAAGTCCCAATCCAATGAGATTTGTGAGCCAAAGAAAGCTAGGATCACCAGCCAATGCAGCAGCACTGACCTAAGTACTGTCACTGTTAAAGATGCAGAGAACGAAGCTTCAGAAACAACTATTATTGAAGTAGAGGAATCTGAAATTCACCAGAAGATTTTTGCCAATAAGAAGACTTCTGCGTTCTGCACTAAGACATCTCATAACCAGAGTTGTCTAAACGGCCTCCCTTGCATGTTCATGTTGAAGAAAATGCAAGAGGAAGCTAAGGAGGAGCCTTCTCAGCCTGAGAAGAAGGATGACAAAAGACTCAGTTCCTACAGTCTTAGGAAAGATGTCATTTATAAAGTAATTTTCAGAACCATCAGGAAGTTCTTCATTAATGACTTCAAAAAGTTCAGCGACAATAAACAACCTAACTCGGAGCCTTCAAGAGATCTCATCTCTAAGATTAGAAGCTATGTTTCAGCCAAGTTCGACTGCTCCCAAGATCACCAACAGCTAGAGGTCTTAGTATTGAGTATCATCGATACTAAACAGCGCTACTGAACTATTAGTGCTGAACATCAGACAAAATATAAAGAAATCACCAGCCTCCTCTATTCCTACAATAAGAAAAAGCTAGCCAGGCTCTTGGCCTCTTCTTTGTTCTCCAAGCTAGTGATGTACTTCCTCTCCCAACCCAACATCCTAGATATGATCATGAAGCAGAGGAAGGAGCCCAGACTTGTGCAACAATATGAGAAGATGCTTGTCGAACTCAAAAATAAGTGTTCGCAAGTAATGCTTCTCTAACTAATTTATCGCTAATACATTATCTATAATCTTTCACTAATCTCCCTCACTGAGTTTACTAATTCTGAAAGTGTTCGAACTTCACAAATTTATAAGCACGAGTTGTCTTCTATATTAGTAGGAATATCCTGGTCTAGTATCAGCATAAGAGGTTATAAATTACGCTCTAGATTTAGTTGGTAAATTCTGTGTATAAATAGTTTATGCCATTTATAAACAGTTTGATATTATAAGCTCAATTACAGTGTCCTTCTGGACTTCTTGTATTTCACTAAGGTTCTTATCAACTCAAAGTGAGGGTGTGAATTATTAAATTACGAGGAGATTATGGAGTACTATTATGACCTTAATCGTCAGGTGAGAGTATTTTTTCTAAAATTACTCGTTGAGCTTGAGACATGGCCGTAATATTAAACTATCACCTTCGTAAAAAGGTGGTTATGAAATAATTCCAAATTTTTTGAGAAAATCATCACTCTTGGTGGGCGTTTTGGTGAATATCTAACTATAAATATATCACTTTGTTCAGGAGGTCCAGAGTAAAATTATACAAGGAATGACAAACATAAGATTATCATCTAATAGGGCATAATATTTATAACTCAAAAATACTAGTGTCAGAAATTTCGTAAGCTCGGTCTCTTAATAATGAGAAAATTTTAAAGGATCCTTGCTTCATAAATATTGGGTATAATAATATCAGCATGGAAAAGTTCGGATTTATGAATGCCATCCCATAAAATTCTCTAGTGTGTCACTTCTAAATCACCTGAAAGACTTGAAAAATTACTAAAAAGCACTCTCAATGCCTCTAAAAATTAATTTTAGCCTCCACCAACGTTTTGGATACGAGCAAATTTTTGAGTAATTCAGGTGACTTTTGACTAAAATCAACTGAAAATTTCGAGAGGTTTTAAACACTCGCGAAAGATGAGTATTTTGGATCTTCATAGAGCCTCCCATTTCATCCAAAATCTCTTATTTTGTAGTAAATTTAATTTTTCTCCTCCATATATGGCTGCGTTTGCTTCTCACCTCAAAGCTCTTGCTAGCATTAAACACTAGTGCTGAATCTTATAAATTCTCTTTCATTCGGAAAGTGTTTGATTTATTTTAAATTGAGATATCTCTACTCAAAATCTAGATGGAGAATGGCAGGACTTCGATTACGAAATTTCCCTTGAGAAAATAGGCAATAAAAAATTAATATATCTAAGTAATTTAGGGATTCTTCGAGATTACCGATCAATAACAATCGATTGTTTATATAATTGAGACTCAAGATCTAATAATTTCCAGGCAAGCATGAGCTATAGACTGCGGATAAAACAAATCAGCATAAAATGATAAATTTTAGTGCTCTTTCTGTCACCAAATAACATTGCTGATAAATTTTTGACCTAATTCTAGTTATTAATGTACCCATCTGACTGAGACTTCACAGATGAAGGATGGAGTTAATAAATTTGTAGAATAAAGTACTCTTAATATTCTCCTTTTATACCAAATTATGCATGATAAGAACCTACATAACTTTAGGTCAACTATCGAACGTTCTCTTTGTTATTTTTGAAGCAAAACTATTATTAAATTACCATCAGCCTTGGATAGACTGAAGGAAAGTTAATTATAATTTTGAGACCAAGGCATTGAACTCTTTCGAATTAAGTAAGAGATATAGCTGCTCTATAGGATCGAGTGCTATGAAAGAAAGCTTATCAAAAGAGCTATGATAATAATTCACAAGTTTGAAAGACTCTTGGTGAAGACTCTATGTGCTATATCAACTCTCTAAATTTCCTCAAATTATGGGGAAAGATATTTCGCAATTGTTCACAAAAGAATCTTGGGGTATATTATCTGGTGTTGAGATACTTCATGTCAATTTTTTCTCCTTCTAAGAAAGATTACACAAAGCGTGAATAGAGAAATATGGAGTTCAACAAGAATAATATAACTCGGGGTTTTGGGGTTTTGGGGTTTTGGGGTTTTGGGG